CATCCCTTTTAGCCTTAATCTATGACACTAGCAATAGCTAAGAATCAAAATAATTTGATTAAATTAATGCCTTCCATTAGGAAAGACATTTTTGGTGAATGTGTATTTTCTCATTCACTGCATGAATGTAATAGATTGGTGGTCATTAGTTGAAATAAGGCTCTTGAACGTGTTCTTAATAAATAGAGATGTCATCATGTAGACAACAACATGATTAACCGATAGCTTGGCTTTATCGGTTAATCTCTCTCTCTCTCTCTCTCTCTCTCCCTCACTCACACACAACCCCGCCTCTGTATCAGAGACAGCAAGGGGTGGGTGGGAGCAGGAGCCAGTACCAATGAGGAGCTAGCTTAAAAATCAGCTCCCCATGAGCACCAGATTCGCCTGCTCCCTCTCACCAGAGGCAGCGGGGGGGAGGAGAGGGGAGGAGGGTATAGGCTAAAGCCAGTATGTGCGAGGAGCCGACTTTTAAGCCAGCTCCCTGTGTACATCAGTTCCAGCCTACCCCCTAACCCTCCTCTATCAGTGGCAGTAGCATTGGGTGTAGGGTGGGGGGGGTTGCCATGAAGCAGCCCGAGCTCCCTGCAGACAGAGGCTGCTCCACAGCAGGGGACACTGTTGCTGCAGAGCAGACTGTGTCTGTGGGATGCTCGGATCCCCCGGGACAGGGGCTGCTGCTTCTGTATCAGAGGCAGCAGTATGAGGCAGCAGGCAGTTGGTTTTTAAAGAGATACAGAGGGAGAGGTGCAGGATGGCAGGGGCTCCTGGAAGTGTGGCGGTGAACATGCTGGCTGCCAGCCCTGCCCATGGGGAGTATCAAATAGTCGTATAACCACTAAGATTTTATGCAGTTACATGACTATTCATTTACACAATATCCCTATTTAAGCTTTCCAAAACAAAGATTATTTTTTACATCTATTTCTTGAGTTTAGAGAGTCATTTTTTGACTAGTGCAAGAAAATATTCTAACTGCAACCCGATAACTTACATACGCCTGGCATAAACATAAATACAGATGTATATTGACTGATGTACCTGAAGCCCTTGCCCATTCAACCGCCAACAACTGCTGAAGAAGTAGAAACTTTTGCAAACACATTGTCGTTTTACTTGTATGTATATTATAGTTTAAATACCTAACAACGTATAAGATTTTTAATCACTTGATTCTTCTCTCCCCTTATCACTTTTTTGAACAGCACTGCCTCAGACTCTCTCCTCTTCCCCTTCGTGTTGCTGTCATCTGCCATCTACCCATCTCCTCCCCATCAGCCCTCCTTTCCTTATGGTCTCTCACATCTCATTTGACTTTAGCTGACTGACTCCTTTGCTGTATGTTTCCTCTTGTTCAGTTATTCAGTTGGCCTGCAGCTCTAAGTTCAACTCTCTCACCAGAAGGGCCATTCACTGAACTTGCTTTTCCCAAGCATCCATTTCTCTCTGTTACTAAGTTTCCCTTTACTGACAGTTACCTGGGCTATGTCTACACTGGCGCGATCCTGTGTCAGAAGTATGAAAATGAGGCTAAGTGTGGAATAAAGCTGTGCCTCATTTGCATATCTAATGAGCTGCCATTTTGCGGAAGAGGTTCTTGCACCAGAAGGAGCTGTCTACGTTGCCCCTTCTTGTGCAAGAAAAACCCTCTTGCGCAATGCTGTTATTCCTGAAAATAATCGGCGATGATATGCAAATGAGGCTCAGCCTTATTCCACGCTTAGCCTCATTTGCATACTTCTGGCGCAAGATCATGCCAGTGTAGACATAGCCCTGGTGTTTTTCACCATTGCTTGTCATCTGTCTGTCTCTGCATTCCTATGACTTCTAGTCCATCAGTCTTGCAGACTTCTTATCTAGTCTCCTCTGTTCTTTTCTTCCACTGATACAGTGGTTGGTTGATTCTTTCCATTCTTCAGTTTATTGTACTCTTGACTTTTTTGCCTCTCCCCCATCGGAAGGGACAACTGTGCTAACCCCCAGCCCTGGGTTACTTCGAACAACTGATTCCTTTGCTCCTACTCTTGTGCTGAGGAGAATGTCTGGCAGAAATCCCATGATCAGGCTGACTTCCTCCACTACAGATTGGTTTTCCCTTACTTCAATTCTGCTGATCTCTCTCTAGTGTGCACTCTCATCCCCACTTTATTCTTCTCCTCAATTTCTCACACTTTTGTCTTTTTCCTCTAACAATTAAAACATGTTGTAATCTCTCCTATTTTAAAAATAAAGAACACCTCCCCCCAAAAAAATCCTTAGCCCCCTTTGCCTCTCTATCACAAATACACTTCTGAATAGGGTCGTGGCCTCTTTTAATTGAAAAAAATAAAATCCAAAACAAAGTCCTACTGCCTCAATTTTCCCAGATAGGGGTTACAACCCTGCAATTGGGTCCTCCAGGCTGGTCCCTCCACCCCGCCAGGTGGCCTTCCTGGCCCCAGTCAATTGATTAGGAGTCCTGATGTCCCACCAGAAAAAGGGGCTCAGCCACCCCCAACATCAGTATCTCCGGGCCTCTATGCCCGAAATACAGCTCTCTCTGTCCCAGTCCTCCCAAGCGAAGCCTCCAGGTCCTCCAATATCATGTAACACCCCCAAAGGGTGGGGGGAGGTAGGGACCTGGGCCCACCCTCACTCCGGGTCCCAGCCCGGGTGCGAAGGACAGTGGCAACGCCCACTGCCCGGTTGGTGGGGGTCACCACCCAAAACTCACCAACCCTCAGGCTTATGCGGATAGCCCTGCCCTGGGCCTCTTCCTACTCCCTCTCCTGAGTTAATGTGACAATTACACACTATGCAGGTAGTTTCACGAGGCAGGGTGCGCCTGCACTTGCCCCCTGGTTGATAACGGGTCTGGCCTCTGCGACGTAGGCAGAACGGTGCTGCTCGGGAGGAGGGTCCGCCCTCTCGGTCCATGGCTCCTACCCTCCAGTCACCTGTTTCCCAGAAGTCCTCTGCACAATCCCCAAGCCCGTTTGGTGGTGGAGGGTCTAACTCCTATGGTCTCCAAGGCGCTACTCCTCCGCCTCCCTACTCCCCCCAAAGGTGAACAAACCTTTTTAATGTCCCACCGCGCCAGCAGAGACGCCACTGGAGATGCTGAGCTGTGTCTTCTGGCCCTACATTCTCTCTTGCCCCAGGCCATCCTCCGGCCCCGGATGTTGTTGGTGGCCCAGGAGCATGCGCCGCAGAGCCACGGTCAGAGCCACGGTGCCCCCTTGCCCCAAAACGCCGGGACCGGCTGAGCCAGAGTGCGGGGCGCGGCCTTGGCCCCTTCACATTTTCTAATTACTACTTGATTTCCATTTTGAATTGGTTCTATTGTGATTAGTATAACATAAATAACAATATTGCAGTGTTAATGTAGTGCACCAGTGATGGGTAACCTGTGGTCCAAGGGCCGCATGCGGCTCATCGGGGTCATGTGTGTGGTCTATGTGACATTTTGTTTACTGTTGCCCAAGCACATGGTTGCCAGATTCCGCTAGTTTCCATCTGTGTAGTTTTTTCCTACCAGTATTACTAAAGTGACACACATGAAAAGCAAGGGAGGTATGCTGAGAGCAAAAGCTCTGCACACTCTGCATCCAATGAAAGCACTGCTATGGTTCTATCAGCACACCCTGCAAATTCTGGTGCACAAACATAGTTAGCAAAACTACCCTTTCCTGGGAAACGGTCTAGGTTACAACAGTCTTGCAGCCCACTGAAATGGAGACCCACATTCACTAGCCTATGTTGCCCATCTTTGGAGTATATTGCCAGTATGCTTGTTTTTTGTCTTTCAAGGATCTGTTCCCTTCCGAACTTTTGTTCAGATTTTTAAAAATCAGTTCTCAAGTAAAGAAAAGGCAAAGTTATTGCTGATAAAGTTTACTGATTACAGAGTGGTTAGATTGGTTGGTAGGTAGGTAGGTAGTAGTACTGAACTGAGTGGCTTTGTGGGGGTGGGTGGGTGGGTGGGTGGGTGTGTGTGTGTGTGTATACTACAGCAAAATGAAATGTCATACATAAGAAAAACAAAGACAACATACTAGTGTCTTGGAAAGCAATGACTATGGGATAATGCTAGATAATGCCTTGAACATGAGTTCACTAAAAGGTTTAGTGACATGATGTCACTAAAAGGTTATTATGATTATTGGATATATAAACAGGGTGGTACATAATATTGGGTACGTCTAGACTACATGCCTCTGTCACCAGAGGCATGTAGATTAGGCTACCAGACATAGGAAAATGAAGCGGTGATTTAAATAATCGCCGCTTCATTTAAATTTACATGGCTGCCGTGCTGAGCCGACAAACAGCTGATCAGCTGTTTGTCGGCTCAGCGCGGCAGCCATGTAAATTTAAATGAAGCGGCGATTATTTAAATCACCGCTTCATTTTCCTATGTCTGGTAGCCTAATCTACATGCCTCTGACTACAGAGGCATGTAGTCTAGACATACCCATTGTTATGAAGTTGATGTTACTATTGTATGTTGTTAATGTGATCCCTAATGGGTGTTGGGGGAAAAAAGGTGACTTTGGTTGTGGAAAATACGTTTTAGATAAACTATGTAATTTATAGGAAATAATAAGATCTGTCATTAAGGTTACCAAACACTTTCTGTTATAAGAGTCTGGTTTTGGTTATTAGCAACTGTGCTAAAACTGGGCTGCCTTGGACTAAAATTTTCCTTTCCGAGTGTCTGCTTGAGGCTGAATTTTTTTTAAATGTCAGCATAAGCACTTCTTTGCTTTGCTATCAGTATTCTACCTACAAAGTCATATTTAACAATCCAATCAGACTTTTTCCTGTTACATGGTTGTTGTCTTTTTAAGAATGTTATTGTACTGCACTGACAGTTTTTTTTCTAATTCACATATAAATTATCTCTCGCTGATTTGTACTTGGAATTTTACGTCAGAAATAAGCCAATTATTTAAGAAAAGAATACTATAATAAAATAAAATACTTTTTAATCATTCTCCAACTTTTCTTTGTCTCCTTAGAATGTGAAAGCATTTGCATCATCAGATAGTCTAGCTAAAGTCCAAGAAGTAGCAAGCTGGCTGTTGGAAATGAATCAGGAACTGCTGTCTGTGGGCAGTAAGAGGCGACGAACTGGAGCATCTCTTAGAGGTAATGCTTCCTCAAGCCAAGTAGATGAAGAGCAGATGAATCGAGTTGTGGAGGAGGAGCAGCAGCAGCAGTTACGACAACAAGAGGAGGAGCACATTGCAAGGAATGGGGAAATAGGTGGAGCAGAATCTGGACTTGGTGACAGACTTGAATCCCAGCAAGAACAGTTAGAAGAAAACAATAATAGGCTTAATGCAGTGGATGAAGAATCCACTGGTAACCAAGAGGATGAGGAAGAGGAAGAACATGGTGCTGAACAAGAGGAGGAGATGGAAGAAGAGGAGGAAATGGACCAGGAGAGTGATGATTTTGATCAGTCTGATGACAGTAGCAGAGAAGATGAACACACTAGCAGCAATAGTGTCACAAATTCAAATAGTATCATGGATTTGCCCATACAGTCATCTCAATTTTACATGAAGACAAAGGTGAGAAACTTAATTGATTTTTTTCTGTTTTGTACTTGAGATGCTGGTTAATCAGAGTTTAGAAAATAAGTTGCATTTCTAACTCACCCTGAAATCTCTTTCTGAATTATGTTATCTGCTAGAACAATACACTTCTAGGAATACATTGATTATTAACAATCATAAATGCCTCCCCTATGACTAATCAAACTCTTTACATACATTTGATGTAAATAAAGCTGTTTGTAGACTTACAGAAAAAGGAGGCTGAAAGAACTTTGAGAGGTAATCTAGTTCATTCTCCCATACTGAGGCAGGATTCATTATACCTAGACCATCCCTGAAAGGTTTGTCTAAACTGTTTTTGTGATGATGATTCAACAACCTTCCTTAACAACCTGTTCCATTGCTTAACAATCCTTCAGAAACAGAGCATTCTTAACTTTTTTCATATCATTCTACAATCTCCCTAAAATGCACTAAAGAACCATTTGTGACTTTCTTTCTCAAAGGAAGTATAAAATCTTCTATCAAAAGATGTAGTTCTAAGGTACTGGACAATGCACTTTAAATCAAAGACAGGAAATGGGAGAATACTCAACTCCTCATCCTAGCCAGCTTCAAGTGACTTCTTTGGCTAAGTATATATGGAGAAATAATAGTTCAAGTACAAGCCTATAGCACTGTGGGGTATTGCTGCTGCTGAAGAATAAGGAAATCACATTTACTAATTTAAAGGGTCATTGTCAATTTAAAAAAAAATCATTCTTCTGTCTGAAAATGTTGAATTTACAAGTAGCTGCTGTGGGCTTTTTTGTACATGAGAATTAGCGTGCAGCAAGCCTGTGTTTGTTCAGTATGTGGCTGCATGGACCCTGTTGTCATGCATTAAAATTTCCTTTCCATAAAGGTCAAACAGCACTAGGCCAGAGTGTACATTGGAATTTAGTACATGCAGGTTGATGCATTGTAGATTACAGCCAGTGAATCAGGCTTGCTGTGGACTAGATCCCTGAATAGGCTAACCCACAGATTATACAAAGACCGAAAAAAGATTTAAAAGATCATCTTTGTCTTTAAATGTTTGGTGTGTTATCAGTTTAACTGTTTTCTGGGAGTGCAAGTCATTTCTCATGTTCTTCAAGAGGGAGTTTACTAATCTTAGCAGCTGCAAAAGTGAAATTAAAGCAACAAACAATAATGTGGACACAGAAAGAGATGGAAGGAAAGAAGCTATGAGAATTAATGCCATGGCTTCTGGGCCTGCCCAGCAGATTATTCTAAATGTCAAAAGCAGGAAGAGAAACCCCTTTTACTCACCCAATAAATAAATAAATAAATAATGTATTTAAAGTGCATTGTCAGAAAATGTATTTTAGACGATTGTTTAATACTTTACAAAATCAATTAGGTAGTGTCTCTTCAAATCCACTACCTGAATTTCAAGATGATGGCCCTATTTTAATGTCAAATGTACTCGTATAAGCATGTTGATAGAAATATCGTACCAGAATCTATGCAACCACACTTGTACAGACACCATTTGTTTTTGAAATTTGCAGTAGTATGTTTCAGGTATTGGTAGTTAGAGTATAAATCTCCCTTATTTCAGTTTTATATCTATTGTGTTGATTGAGGTGCTTGATTTCAAAAGTTAGGGGAATCTTTCTAGGTTTTTTAAGGAAACAATTGATTTTTGCATTAATATTGTTAGCTATCATAAATGTGGAATCTCCTATCCCTGAAGAAATCTCATTTTAAAAGGTATTGCAATGGAAATGCTAGCATAACATTATCAAGTTTTCTGAGATTTTCTTGGGTCAGTTAGTCTTAAACCACTAATTATTCTGCTATGATGCTTTTTCCTCCCAACCAGCTCAGTGTGACTTCAGGAATAGTATAACCGCCTATACTCAACCATTTTGAACTCTATGCTGAAAATACAATATCCTTCTACCCAAAAAGCATTTAAACTTGAAAGATCAATAAGTTCAGAATTTGCAATACAACTATCTAAATAACAATTCAGTAAACATATGTGTGCACAGAGCAAGAGATGGTGGTTAATAGTCTTTCCTTTGGCTGCTTTTTTTTCTGTTTTCCATAATGAATAAAATCCTTATTTTTTAAACAAGGCACATGTAATGCAAATAAGTTTATGATATTAAGGAAGGATGCATAGTTAGCATTGTTCTGTGTTGTCTGATAGTCATCATAAAAATTAAAATAGCGCAACAGAAAAACATAATTGTTTTTAAATAATCTAAGTTTAAAAAATAATCTTCTGTATAAAGAAACACTGCAGAAATCCTGCAAAAAGTTAGATGTTGTATCACACTCAGTCGATGCCAGAACATGAAAATTTACTGGCCAAAGCAGATTCACAGAAGGCTAAAGATATTGACATAATTATGCGTAATAGTATTTTTAGGACAAGTACAGTATTTGTGGATTCTTATTAGCACTGTTAAGTGCGACTTCTAGCTCTGACTATTGTCAGTTTAAATCAACTGGTATGTTGTATGAAAAGAATGCCATTCAAGTCAGAAGACTTTTTCATCCAAATAGTCTCAAAGTTAAAACTATATATTTTTACATGTGTTTTTCTGGGCTCATTAGTGTCTGATGATGTAGTCTGATTACTTACTGTTATTGGTCAGATTACCTAATCCCTTATTTGGATCTATGCATTAATTTAACATGTTTTGTACCTCCATCTTCAGTAGAAATTGTGTGTTGGATCTACTGTGTACTAACAATCAGCCATGAGTTTATGGTGTCCCTCGCCTCTGTTTGTCAGAGGCTAGACATCGGAGACAAGGGAGGGATCACTTGATGATTCCATGTTCTGTACATTCCCTCTGCGGCACCGGACATTGGCCTCTGTGGGAAGACAGGATACTGGGCTAGATGGACCTTTGGTCTGACCCAGTATGGCTGTTCTTATGTTTTTAGGTAAAACTGAAAATATATTTGTTTTAGGTATTTGTTTTGCAGTAATTTTTAAAAATCTCCACTGGCGTGGTAAACTTTCTCATTTGCAAAATGAGAAAATGAAAAAAAAAATCTCTACTGGAGTGGTAATGCAACAGAAAATGTCTGTTAATTTTCCAGCATTTAAAAGATTCATTCATTGCCTCATTAACTTTTTTGCCCAGAAGGTCATACAAAAGTATGTCTGGTCTTTCTGCACTAACTACCACTATTTGCTGAACCCAATGAAAAAGTCGTTTCTATGCTATATCAGAAAACATGCAGAGTAATATTTACATTTCATTGCAATAGTTACAGTATTTGATAACTAATCAACTATTGCCAAACAAATGCTAATGATGAGTGCTGTTTATTATAGTTAATCTCATGAGCGTACATCCACCAATGTAGAATTGCTGTTTGTCCTATCTTCCGAAGTAGTGAAGACAACAAATGCCATTAATTTTCTTTCTACAGAGATTATAAGTAGCATACTTCTACCAGAATACTAATGCCTGTATCATGCAGCTCATGTTAACTATCAGATCTCATTTTAAAATCTTTTTAACTGGACTTAAAATGCTGAGTGAAGTATCTAACCTGATTTTGTTATTGTAGTTTCTTGTTTAGAGGAATGCTAGAATATTAAGGGAAGCACCTCAAGATTCACACAAAGACCTAATGTATCCTAGTGATGCTTGCAACTAACATGTCTAGTTACATGTGCCCCTCAAATATGTTTTCTGTTAAAACAATTGCTGAAGTGGCCACACAGATTATATTTAATTGTAATGTGTAAAGGAGGTGTCTGTATGATTGTGAATGGGAGGGAAGTTCGTTCTTGGAATATTTAGATGTGATCTATGTTGTTAAAAAAAGAGAGAGACTATTCAGGCAGCTGAAACCAATCAGCCTAATTCTACCAAATATTCACATATCTCTCTGATGGAAAACAGAAAATAGCCTCCCCTGTGCAAAGAGTAGGAGTTGTTGGGAGATTGCGTCTCCACAAAAAGCCCCGAAGCAGGTCCAGTGAATAAGGAATGTAGTTCCTCTGTCTGTTCCCCCTCCTGAGGAAAACCCCAAAGGCAAGATAACTATGACAGTACAGTCAGAGTTGGCCCAAGCTATGGGTTTACCGAGCTACCACCCGGGCACTCGATTGTAGGGGGCTGCCATGCAGGGTGGTGGGTGGGGCCACGCATGTGCTGGGCACCCAGGGGTGGGGCTGCGCATGCACTGAGGGCAGCACTGCACTCCCAGGACCTGGGGGAGCATGAATGGCTCGGGCCAGCCCTGAGTACAGTGACGCAATTTTAAGAGTTCAGGAGTGCAGTGAATTAAGGCTCATGGCACAGGGTTAGGTTTTGAAGTCACAGGAAATTGTTCCCAAGTTGTTGAGTCAGAGGAAGATGAATGGCAGTTTCTCTACATTGAGGAGCATGCCCATTCTTTGCAGGTAGATATCATCTTGAATTTTGATGAAGTTTTATTTTGTTTCACATCAGTGTCCTTTTTGCCAAGTGGAACTTCAGCCATTTCTCATATGCCTATGCAAGAGGAGGTTTTGCCCAATACTGCTCCTTTGCAGGGTTAGAGCTCCAGATTTCATTGTTGGCTGTACTTACTCATCCTGTAGGATGCAAAAGGACTCACATTGTGAAATCCAGGTCGATAAGATGGGGAATTTTTAGACAGAAGTTGGTTCTTTCTCTCTCTCCCATCTCTGCCATAAATTCAAGTGACAGGAAGCTTCTTGCCAAGACCTTCCTTTCATATAACAAGTTTCATAGTTTGGCTTGCTGGAAGTCTAGGAGAATTGTTGATAGGCTTGGCAGACTATTGGATGCTTATTTCAACATTTCTTATCTTCCTTCTCACCAAATAGGCCTGAGGTTCAACAATTTTGAGTTTTCACGTGACGGTGGCTAATGAGGATCCTTGCTGCAACACTTCTGCAGAAACATATATGTTTGCACACATACGTGGATAACAAAACGAAAGCCAGGTCTGCAGTAGCAATGAATCAAGTATGGGGGTGGGGGTGA